AGAAATCGACTTGAGTAGTGTGGAATACACACTTTTTTATCTTGGCATAGAGTCCTGCATCTCTTAATTTTTGTAACACACGACGAACATGAAGTTCATCTTCTTTTGGATTCTTAGAATAGATCAAGATGTCGTCTAGATAACATACCACAAAATTGTCCAAAAATTCTCAAAAAACATCATTCATTAGATGTTGAAAAGCTGTTGGTGCATTTGTAAGTCCAAAAGGCATGACGTTGTATTCAAAATGTCCATACCTAGTTCAAAACGCAGTCTTCCATTCATCTCCTTCTTTGATGCGTACTAGATTGTATGCTCTCCGGAGATCTATTTTTGTATAGATCTTAGCTTGATTCAGCTGATCAAGAAGTCCAGATATTAAAGGTAGTGGATACCTGTTTTTGATGGTAATCTTGTTGAGTCCTCGATAATCAACACACATCCGCAATGATCCATCTTTTTTCTTCACAAATAGAATGGGATCTCCTGCCGGAGATTTAGAATGGCGTATGAAATTCTTGCCTAGATTTCTTCAATATACTCCTTGAGTTCAGCCAACTCATTTTGTGATAAATTATAGAGTGGTCCGAATGGCGGTTGTGCTCCTTCTTAAAGGTCAATTGAGCAATCACAGGGACGATGTTCCAGGAGTGTATCCGCATTCTTTTTTTCAAATACATCTTGAAATTCTTGATATTGGCTTGGAATGCCACTTGAAGTCTTTTCACCAATAGAAACGGGTGTAGTATAAATAATGTATGGTGATTCTTTCATAGCAGCATGCAAGCAAGCTTTTACACCTATAAATAGGGGTTTAATTGAACTGGACTTATGACTCTCTACTTGCTTAACTACACTGTTAGTTATACTTTTAAAGAAAGTAAGAGTTCCGGAAATCCAGTCTATTTGAGGGTTGTATTTTTTTAATCACGATAAACCTAAAATGACTGGATTAGAGGGAGATCTAATGATATTAAATACTACAAAACTATTATGACCATTGATTATTACTTCTATAGGAAGGGTTTCGTGAGTAATATCTCCAGAAGACAATGGACGACCATCTATGACTTCTACATGAACAGGTTTAGTTTTCTTTACTATAGATATGCCATGTCTTTTAGTAAATTCTTCATCTAAAAAACACGCTGAGGCTCCTGAATCTAACAAGGAAAAGACTTTGTAATGTTTAGGTCCTAAAATAACATTTAATGTAAAACAAGGAGAGGGCTGTGGGGAGAGAATAGGACCTTTACTAGATGTTGTGCAAGGTTCCAGCCACACGGTCCCTATTGTAGCTAGACAAACTCGTTTTCCGACATATTATCTTCTTTCACAGCCATACTCCTCATTTTGTAATTGCATCATTTCTTTGGACAATGTTGAGCAATGTGCTTTGGTTCTTCACAATATAAACATAATCCTTCTTGACGACGACGAGTCTTTTCTTGCTCAGTAAGAGATTTGAAACGTACTGCATCAATTTGCATATCCTCTACTTTCGAATGTATGTGTTGAACAGGTGTTGGTATTGCCATTGAATTATAGTAACGTTGAGGTCCACTTGTACGGTTCTCAAATCAGAATTCAAAAAGATGATTGTCGCACTTCACAGCAAAGTCAATTGCTAGACTCAATGTTTGAGGATCAGGTAAGTTGAGCATTAATTTTTTTACCTCATATTGTAATCCGTAGAGAAATTGGCTAATAAGTGCAGCATCATCCCACTTAATATCAGTTACAAGTTGTCGAAATTGTGAAGCATATAACGTTACTGATCGATTGCCTTGTCGTAAAATACGGATCTTATTGGTTGCAACACGAATTACATCATGTTCTCCATACGTGGATTGAAACTCTGCCAAAAAAGTCTCTAGATTATCCAATATTAGATCTTGTCGTTCAAGAAAAGATGAAAACCACGATAGTGTCGAACTTGAAAGAAGCGTACCAATGAATCTAACTTGTGATCCTGGAGTTGGATAGCTTTGGGGTTGAAGTTCAATCACAAGTTGCACTTGATTGATAAATCCTCGAAACTTGGATCTGGTGCCATCAAACTTCTCGGATAGGGCAATTCTTGGTTCTCTAACATTTGAAGGACGTTCCACCATAGGAGAAAGGACATGGTTTGGTACAGATGTTGAAGCAGCTCTAATCATTTCTATATCTTCACTTCCTACCAATCTTGTTGCTCCTCGTGGTGGTAAATTGAGTTGATGCATTGTAAGCATTAACTCCCTCAATTGCTCTTGCATTTGTGCCATTGCACTCTTCATTTCAAGAAGTTCTGCCATGATAACACTTAGAAGAGAGAAGATGTCTAATATCACTCAAGACAAATAGAAGAGAGGACTTGCGGACAAAGAAAATACTAAGGACAATATTAGTTTAGAAGAAGGTAATCCGCAACTTCTAATACGCTTATATCTTATGAAGAAAAAAGGGGTAATCCACTCTTAATCAAGATTAGACAAAGCTCTGATATTGTAGGTGTACTCTTGTCAATCTGTCATGGATAAGAACTTGATGAAAAACAATTCAGACAAGTGAGCCTTCACCCAAAGAAAGGTAACAAAGTATAAATAAATAAGTATGTATATTGAAAGAAAAACTGGAATGGCTATTGCCAAAAGACAAGAAAACTAGAGACCCTTGAAACTAAACTGGAAGCAAGAAAAGAGTTGACAAGAGTGAAGAAGGCTTCACTCTTGTCTCTATGTATACTATCTAACTAGGGGCTACGTGGCGGCATTCTATAGGACCTCGAATATGTGTTGACTTTGTAGGACACATGCCTTGACTTACAAGGCAAGTTTTTCTACATGTGGGCCACATAGTTACCTTGATCTTCAAGCTATCAACATGTGTGGCACATGGCCAACTTGTTGACCACGTTTCTAATCCAAAAAGTCAATTAAAGACACCTATGAAGTCAAAGCAGCATCTAGGAAGTTTTTAGGAAGCTTCCATATTAAATACTATAGAATTAACTTACTTTTATCTACTTTTACTTACTTCTACCTATTTCTATATGTAATTATTAGCTTACATGATTATGGCCGTGACACTTAATCATATAAGTAAATATTAGAATTAATATATATGTTCATGACAGGTTGTCTCCAAATGACTAGCAAACTTTTATAAAAATTTGGTCAATTTTATACTTTATAACTTGAATTGAGTTATTAAAGAAGATTAATTTCAAACACTTATTAATTCCATGATGTAAAAAATGATTCAAAAGATGTATGCAATTTAGGTCAAAAAATGTAAGCCATCTAAATAATTCCATTGCATGTATATCAAATTTCATTGCATGTAATTATAAATGTGGTGATTCTTCGCAAAATGAGTTAAGCATACAATTCTCACAAATAATAGAAAATATAGAATTTGAGCAATATTTGAAAGCATGGAAATATTAAAGCAGTTAATCATTGAGATAATAATCAGGAATCCAACTAAGAGTTCAAATATAATATAAGAAATATTTGAGTACAATGTAATAGTATAATTTAATTTAGTTAAAATTACTTGAACTTGTTGGTCTTGATGGACGAAAAGAAAAGTATATTTTATCTCAATATTGTAGCTTGAGGTTTCAATAGATATATAAAAACAAACAAAGTATCATATAAATTATAGTAAAAACAAATACATGAACAAAGTAAGTAGATTAAATGAAATCTAATTCTATTGGTAAATTAATAGAGATTTAAATAAGTCAAAAAAATCAAATTTTACTTTACTACATGTGATGTAGAAAGCTGCAAGTTGTTCCTTTGTTATATTTCAAATGCTTTTGAATTTGTTCATATTTGTCAATGTCTTTGAAATTCCACACATAAAATGTACCAACATATAATTAACCATAGCCAAAAGAATAAAAATATGCTAATAATTTCATTGTTAGGTACAACTTTAAATAAAATGAGTACCAGTGATTATCTTCCTTGAAGATGCCTTTCTAATACTTTCTCTTTGGGAGCTAGAGAGTTGATGAAAATATATGTTTCATTTTAAGCACTCTTCTTTATTGCTTGAGCTTTTTGGACATTGACAATTAAAATATAGAAATACATCATTTTTTTTTTTTTTTTTTTTTTTTTTTTTAAAAAAAGAAGAATGAATCCTTTAATTCAATGTTTGTAATTGCAAGTATGGAATTAATAATCAAGGAATATTTATACCTTGCCAACGTCTATTATAATTACCACTCTCTTCTTTCATAGTATGCTCCAAAACTTGCACATATTTAATCATTGAAATAGAGAAATTAAAAACATTATTCAACACTTTTGATGAAAAGAAAGAAAGATGCATACAACAAACACATTGTTTAATACATTGTCCATCCAAAATTTCATGTTTTGTTTAAAGCCCTATGAATTCCAACATTTCACTTTTGATGAAAACAAAGAGAGATGCATACAGCCAATTAAAACATCATTTTGTCTCAGTTGTTTATTCCATATATTTATCCCTTCTTTTAAGCTATCTTATATAAGAGATGTATTAATATTAGCATATTCATCGAATATATATGTAACTTCAAAATACATTTTTTTTTCTTTTTAAAATTATTAAAACCAAAAATTCTCCAAATAAATAGCAGCAACTAATAATTTATTCATTTTTCAAAATCACATTAAAAAATCAAGTGATGTTATCCAATGCAAAACATAAAACTTCATTCAAAATTGCCTCTTCTAAAAAGAACCTCAATCCACCTGCTAGAAGCCACTCAATGTGTACAAGTTCAATCTTCCAATCACACACATATATAAATACAGATTAGTATCGTAAAATAATATATACGAATACGGAGAGGGAGTCGTATCCCGGTGGGGGCCGTAGAGGGAAGGAGGGAGGGAAGGGGGCAGATACGCAGCACCGCAGCATAAGATGCAGGGGAAATGCACCACAAGATTCGTCGAACGCAGACCGAGAACATTCTAGTGGACGGGGTGCAGTCACGAGGTGCGGATAAGCCCCTGGGGCTCGCTCTACCACTGCTGCCTGGCACCACCAAATTGCGATTGATTGATTGCTTCCCCCCCTCTCGCAAATTGTTGCGCAATTCTTACTTACTATTGCTGTGGACCTGCACCCCAGCGAGAGTTTGTTTTTGTCGCCGAGAGAATTCCTCACTTGGGTCCACTCCAATCGGTAATTTCGATCAGCCATGGAGCTGGTTGCAGGTATGGCTGCGCCTGCTACCACGAATCCCAGCTTGATGATCAGTGGCTTGGCGAATTCTAGCGGTTGCAGGTTGCGCGCGGCGAGAGCGATTCAGGGTTTGCATTTGCCGGAATTGAGGGTGCGAGCAGGTCGGGCGTTGGTATGGCGGGTGGGTGCGACGGGGAGTGCGAAGCGGGGCGTGGTGGTGATGCAGGCCAGTTCGAATGGGAACGATCCTGGAAGCGATTCGGAAGTAGATGACAAGGTTTTGCCCTACTGCGACATCAACAAGAAGCAGAAGAAGACGCTGGGCGAGATGGAGCAAGATTTTCTTGAGGCCCTGCAGTCTTTTTACTTTGATTCCAAACCCATCATGTCGAACGAGGAGTTTGACCTTTTGAAGGAGGAGCTGACATGGGAGGGCAGTAGTGTCGTGATTCTGAGCTCGGACGAGCAGCGGTTTTTGGAAGCGTCGTTGTCCTATGCTGCTGGAAAGCCTATTCTGTCTGATCAGGCATTCGACGAACTAAAGCTGAAGCTGAAGCAGAAGGGTAGCAAGGTGGCTATGGCAGGACCTCGGTGCAGTCTCCGGAGCAAGAAGGTGGTGAGCGACGCATCAGTGGATTATGTCAAGATGACATTGCTGAATTTGCCGGCTGCTCTCATTGCCCTAGGTTTGGTCTTCTTTCTGGACGATATCACAGGGTTTGAGATCACGTACTTGCTTGAGTTACCCGAGCCGTACAGTTTCTTATTCACATGGTTTGTCGTGTTGCCCACCACGTTCTTGATGGCACAATCTCTTACAAATATAGTATTAAAGGATGCTCTGATCTTGAACGGCCCGTGCCCGAATTGTGGAGCTGGGGTTAACAGTTACTTCGGTAGCATTTTGACCATCCCCAGTGGAGGACCATCCAACAACGTCAAATGTGAAGCTTGCGGTTCCAGCATGATTTTTGATAAAGATACGCGCCTCATCACTCTCGACGACAGCCCTCCAGAAAAGAAAGCTCCTAGGCCAAAGAAGCCAGCGAAACCTGCATCCGAGAAGGTCTCTTCATCAGCCTAAATGCAATCCTAGTCTCATGAATGTGAGATTACTGCATGTTCAGATTACTGGTCGAGAGTATTAATTTTAAAGTGAGTTGTGTTAATTCAGGGACAAATAGAGAGCCCTTTGGCTGAACAGAACAGGACCACTCTCTGTTTGTAATTATGATTGTAAATGGAGTGAGTAGATTGGCACCCATTCTAGGAGTGTATCCAGCTGCACATGCCAAGACTGTCCGTTGCGCAGTTGTAACATAGTGAATCCCGTGGCCTGCTTCCATCCTGATTAGTCGATAACGTGGAGAACAAGGCAGTCGTCCTGATTTTACGACCTCCCTTGGCACCCAGACATGAAGAGAAATATTTTTACCCACAGAAACAGACCCATTGTCCACTTATTTGCATTCGAGTGTCTTCCTCTTAAACATTTCTTTCCAACTTCTCTGAATAGAATATACTGTGCATCTGCTATGTATAGAATGCATGACAACAGTGTCTGAAGTGGAACCCCCTCAACGACTGTGATGATTTGCATACGCAGGAGTCGTCGATGGAAATGTTTGAGGAACAGACAACTGTGCATTTGAAACTCTACAATTCTGTATGGATCATCTTGCATAGCCAAAACCCAGATGATAATGAAGGCAACCTATTGAATCTATGCCATAACCTTCGTCACCACATACTTAGCTGTTGGTCAATAAACACTCACGAGCTTATCCCTTTCCTGCTGCTATCCTTTCACCATATGTACTCTCAGTTCCTTAACACGTGAAGTCTTTTCTTCATCTTGTTAAGTCCTACCCCTGTCGTCGGAATTGTACATGTTCCACCGCTTCTGTGGCAGAATGTTATGACTACCGTGACCTCCCATTGCAACTCATGCATCAGCCTCTAATCAGGCAACCACTACCAACTGCCCACCAATTCTTTTCTCTCGAACAAAATCTAAAAACTGCACTGTCTTTCCCTGAGCAAAGTAGGTACAAAACGATCGACCCAGTTCAATCCATCTAAAATAAGATACCTAAAGATGCTCCACAACCATGGAAACCTGCAACCGAACAGCTCCAACACCAGAAAACACCTCATCAATCGGGAACACGCCACTTTTCGGCAGAACTTCATCAATGAATTTGGACTGCTGCAGTCTGAACAGTCTACTTCTGTGAACACTGCAGAAAAAATCTGCAATGGTCATAATATCAGGACTGTCCTTGTTTGCGAGTAGAATCTACAGATTCAATCTTCCGTATCCTCCAAAATTCACCGATAGATACAATATCAATAACGCCACTTGAGGCCACAATTCACCCGGCTATCTGGAATTTGAACATCGCACGAGGACATTTGCAGTAACCCTCTGAATTGAAGAGCAACCCTACTTCACTATGATGCTAATCACCATACGTGTTGGGTCTTCCGTGATACTCGACTCGTCGAAAGGAATTTGCAAATTTGAGAGCACTTTCATTCATCATTTTCTGAGACTGGCTCAGGATGCCATAAGAGTAGAGGTGACGGAATTCATCTCATACGTGCATGTCGCAGGAAGTGGGGCCGGGAAATACAGTCCTCTGCTTGTTCACGAACACCACATTTAGAACACAGTAGGAGATCATGAGCAGTTTGGAATATTGAAAGTATTGGCGGCCATGGCGACGCTTGTCACATCTTATCTTCATGCATGCAACGCAACCTTCGCAACCACCCTTCCTCGCCATTCCAGATTGTAAGCTCGTCTTCTTACATAACTGGTTTCTGGGGTTTTATTCCTTCTGTTTGGAGTCCTTTGCTGTACCACTTGCACCATTGGTATGTTGGGTTGGCAGTATTTTTCCGGGTCTACTTCGTGAATTATGATAAGGTGTTGTGTCTTGGGGTTCACGAAGGTGTCGAATCCATGGTAGGGAGATGTCTTGTTCATTCAACGTTATTTTTATTTATTTTTATTTTTATTTTTTTGTTGGTAGCTTGTCAACTTGGGATTACAGGAGAGGACATGGGGAATAGATATTTTTGGTAGCGCATGTGAGGAATTGGACTTCGACGTCACAGATGATTGTGCGATTCGAGTTGAAATCGTTCGATTGTGAATCGAATTGTTGTTACACCGACGTCGGTTGATTGTGTTGATGCCGACTCTGCTGCAAATTTCTGTAGCGTATCGATCTGTGAATGACTGGAGCATATTACATCGTCAAGAACTTGGACAGTAACTCAATGTCATTGTTTGTGATTCATCGAAACAGGATACAAGCTCCAAGCGTTCAATTTTCGCAGGTGTGCGGGAAGAATCTTGGACAGAGTTTCTCATCTCCATCAGCTAGGATTTTAAGGCGGAATTATGATTTTAGAAGGGAATTAGTGTCAGTAACGCGCAGCATGGCATCCAGGTTAACCTTTTACACCGAAATTTTGTTCACATGGGCTGTAATGTTTGGAATTTTTATAGGCGTCACCAACCAAGCATTTTGCTCTCTTTATTGTCTTCACTGAAGTTGTACGAGTGCTTTTTGATGTTCTCTTTCGTCACGCATTGAGAACAATATATTCCACCAGTTTGGGATACACTGCATGCGATGTGATCGGTGCAACGTTTGTCATAAGTTGCGTTTACGTGTAGTTTGTTCCACATTGTTAAGCAATTTCAGAGTGTTGGATTGCAGCTTTGAAAATCGTGAAGTGCTGGACTCTAAGTCCGCAAGCCCGGCAATCTTCGATGGCACAACGAGGTATGTGTGTTGTAACCTCTTTTGGTATCGTCCACGCACCATATGCAACAGCTGGTCTACTGCGTAGCATGTTTAGACTCAATGCTACATACCAACGTCAAGAGAGTCTGAATGATGATGTTTAACATTTTTATGAAAAGAACATTTTATCTTTGTGTAGGTTCCTCAAGAATCGGTGAATAATTGAAAAGTTTTGAGATGAACACGATTGTTGACTGTTTGGATAATTTAGTTTTTGACTGTTACGGGTGAGTTTCTGAATGAAGGCTATACTTCAGCTCTAGATGCCCTTACGCACAGCGAGTCTGGGTTGCTGTCAAATACAAGGTATTTTTTGAAAAATCAACATTCCAACTGTTGACGTAGGCTTAGCAATGAAGTGAGTATGTCTTTTGAGCTTTCTAAGAGTCCAGTCAACCCAAAGGGTTTAGGTTTTAATAGAATTTTAACCCATTGGATGAATGGCGTTTCTTAAATTGATGAGCAAATCCTAACGTCTGCATTTCGCATGCGGCGAATGGGTGCAGGGACTGGATGAAATAGAATGTGTAGAGATTAGTCTTTCGGACAAGCCTACATGGTACAAAGAAAAAGTGTACCCTGTTGGAAAGGTAACGATATTAGGCTTCTTCTTTTCCTTTATTTTATTTTTTCCTTTTTTAAGAGATGGGTGTTGTGTGTCATTCGTAAACTCTGTCAAATGGACTGGTCTCTTCTGAGGCATGTTTTTATGCAGTTTGTTGGCATGGCTCATCGATTCTTAATGTGTTGAAAATGTTTAGGTTCCAGCTCTGGAGCATAATGGTACAGTGACTGGCGAGAGTATGGATTTGCTGACCTACTTGGATGATCACTTCGGAGGACCGAAACTTGCACCTACTGTAAGGAACTTGTTCACCTGATTATCAAACATGAAGAATTTTATGCTTTCGTTTTGGGAGATGGTGTCGATGGTTTTAAGTTTGCTTGCTCTGGTTGCCATAAATGGATGTGAACAGGAGGAAAGTAAGAAACAGGCAGCTGCAGAGCTCTTACAGTATGCCGATACTTTCAACAAATTAGGCTTCACAGGGTTGAGTATGAAGAGTTCAACCCCAGACGAAATTGCAGCAGCTGTAGGTACGGTGGATGATTTCAAATGCATTCTGGCATCCTTGTTGGTTGTGCATACAATTTTATTTCACAATCGTCTTCCCTTCCTCCAATTGAGACAGCTGCAGGTGTTGGACGAAAAATGTAGATATTGCAAACGCAGCGATCATTTTTACTTCATTCTGATAGTTTCCTTTGGTTTGTGCAGCCCCTGCATTCGATTTCTTGGAGAACGCTCTTGCAAAATTCTCCAGCGAAGGACCGTTATTTCTGGGAAATTTTGGACTTGTTAGTTAAACTCTATTAATACTATCCTTTCCGTTGTGCCATTTAAGGAAAGTTGAACTTCAACATTGATCCATCATGTGCTTAGAATTGACTTTTCTGTGTTCTTCTCTCATTAGGTGGATATCGTTTATGCCCCTTTCATTGAAAGATTTGAGATTGCATTCGGTGGAATCAGAAATTACGACATTAGAGCGGGCCGACCACGACTCGCTAAGTGGATTGAGGTGATTCAGCATTCATTATATTCAAGCATAGAATATTTCCTTATCACAGTTTCAGAAACACTAATCCTAACGTTGTTTGCAAATGTGATATTTTTATGTGAAAAATTACTGGCTGTCACATAATTGCTGTCTTTCGAATTATTTTATGGTATGGTTAATGATGTAGACTTGATGCAGACAATGCCTAAATAATGAATGTCGTTACCTTCAACAGGCCATGGACAATGTGGAGGCATATTCAAGTACCAAGGTTCCTCGTGCCACTCTGCTCGAACTGTATAAAAAGATGCTGGTAAGCCTTTGTCATAGGATCATTGCTCTTTACACTCTTTACATCATGAGCTTCCATGTTGGTTCAGGATACTGACGATTCACGAAGCCAGTAATGGCGACTTCAAGCAGATGCAAAGTTCGTTGTTGCCAATAACTGCAGAATCTGTCAACGCTGAGGTCCTGTCTGATATGTTTTGGTTGAGAGTGCAGGAAAATGACTACTTCATAAGAGTTGGCGTTGCTGCTAACCAAAATAATTCTAGTGGATCGTCAGTAGCTGTCAACTGAGGATGAGGTCGCATTCCTCTTTGAAGCTAGCAGAAGCATGTAAATTGTGTAAGTGGCAGCTTAGTTGAAATTGACAGAAAACAAGGTCAAGAAATTTGTCGACGGACAGAGTTGAGTCATTGTAACCTTTGCATCGCATGTATAGCATTCTGTGTAAGAAATTTTCTTACTTCTGTTAGGGGATCTTGTTGTTCAGGGGTAAGGAATCGTGGTGAAATCATACTTTTCGTGCACACCTTGTTTATTGATGTCGATTGATACAACTTTTATGGATATATAAATACTAAATTGATGAGATTGACAGTGTGTTAACGGGAATTAGAATTGATTCCATGGTGTCATTGACAGAGATTTGGACGTGAACCCAAATAGACGCGTCTATTGTTGCAGTAAATGTCTCTTCATTTATTTCTTTTTGCATCCAAGGTTGTGACGGAGTCTTCTGAAGCAAGTTCTTTTCTTTTCTTTTCTGTTTCTTCTTTTTCTCACGCCATTAGGTGTAGAGTGTGACATACAATCTCTTTCGTGGAAATTTCTTTTCAAGTTTTATGATTATCGTTATCATTATTATCATCATCAGTTTAGCATTACTTATCAAAGAATTTGAATGTTGTTCTAGCATCACCTTCTTGCAATTTTCTGCAATGCTTGAACAAAAATTTGGTCAACTAAAGATGATAAATGGTTATTAGAGATTAACTGCAAGTTTTAGATTGGTAATATCATCCAAAGTCAACGGAATTTCAAGCATAGAATAATCATTATTAAGTTTAAATTGGTATTCTTTCTCTTTTTTGTTGTTTATGCTAGATATGAATGTCAACACAGTCTTTGAACAAAGTTGTAAAATGGTGTTCTATTAAAAAATCAATGGTGAAGACACAAGATTTTAATACTTTCACGACACTAAATAAGAGCTAAGCAATTGCAACTTAAACAAATCTATAAGATAGAATAGGTTGAAATGCAATGTATTTTTGTAGTATCATATAGCAATATCTTGCATATTAATGTTATTCTTTTACAAAGCTAATATTTTATTTTATTTCTCTACATGTGTTATATTTGGATTTTGACATGTTATCAAAGATCTACTACACTAGGTATAAGAATCTTTTAACTAAAAATCAAGAATACATAGTCAAATAACTAAGTGACTTAGAAATTTAAAGTTTTTATTAGTTTAGATCTTTATCAAATTAGTAATGCATTCTTAACAATGAGGTAAATATTTAGAGTTTTTTATATGTAGGTATTTGTCTATTGAAAGACAAATATTAAAATGTTAGAATAATTAAAATATTTTTTTGCAAAACAAATTTGTGTACCAAAGAGGAGAATACTTTGGAATTTAGATAGAGTAATTTGTTATTTTTTAAGAAAGAGAATTTAATGTTGCAATCAACAATTATTCTAAATAAATACAATAATAGTTGTAATGCATGTACCAAGATCTCTTAAAATAAAAAGTGGCTTTACGATTTTCTAAAAATAATTTAAAAACAGATGGTTTGTACAACCTATTTCTGAAATCTATTTAGAAATAAAAAAGTAAAATAAATCCTAGACAAAATTTTAAAAATAAAATATCACATGTGGCTCTATTGTAAAATTATTGATGTGGATTTACTAAGAAAAGACATTTTAATACATGACATAAAAAATATAAACAGATGAATTTTTTCTTTACATTTATTTTTATTTATTTATATATCATTTTAAATTATCATTTTAAAGAGTTTTTATATATCATTTTTTAATATTCTTATTTTTATTTTTATTTAGTTATATGTAGCATTGTAAATTAATGAAAAACTTACTGAAAGTAATCGTATGTTAGAAATCGTTACAATAATAATAAATTCATGTAGAAAATTAAAATTAAAATTAACCATTCTATTAATAAAGATTGTAAAATATATGTATATATACATATGTAATTGTAAAAACTTAAGTTTATAAAATTTTAATGTAGATCTTAAAAAATTTAAAGAACAAAAAAACAAACAAACAAAACAATATAAACTAAACCTTGTTTAATTTATACAAGATAAAAAAGACAAGAAAATTGAAGCAATTGAAACAGCCAACAAGGTCACTAAAATTACGCATTTATATAAATACATGTATACAAATATATATATATATATATATATATATATGTTTTTAATGGTTTCAGTTTTATGGGTACTTTTGTAACGGAGGCAAGCAGTGGTGATTTTCAACAAAGAGCGATTAAATTGCGCAACTTTTTCCTATGCTTGGATCAGAACTCGTGTGGGGTTGAAGATATTACTTTGTGGGTTGTGGTTGTGGAGTGATGTGAAACATTTCTTAATGCGCATTCACTGAAGCAGTTTGGAAGGTTGTGGTAGCTTTTGCTTTTGTAGTTCTTTATTTCATTATTTATTTATTATGCATATTTTTCACTTCATTTTGTGCACCATGCTTTCTGTCTGATCTGCATCTTTTGCCATAAAAAATGAAACCAATTAAAAACCATCAAATTTGCTCAAAACCTTCAATGCAGCTTTTTGGGATGGCTAAGATTGGTCCCCTTTCCTGGATTTCAAACTAGAGTATTAATGTGTCTCTTGGCTTGTGTGAAGGCTATTTATTAATGGCGACCCCTAAATTAGTCCCCTACCATTCTAAATGAAAAACAAATTAAAAAATATATATATATATATATATATATATATCTTTGACGTTGTTAATCACATAATATTTAATTCATGATCATACAATGAATATAGTCATTACTAAATACTGGTGTGTGTTGATGGAGGAGAGATTGTTGAAATGACAAGGAAATTTTTATGCTTGTTTGCATGTGGGGTTAAAAATAAGCAATTAATGGATGAGATGAATTTTGTTTATTAGTGTTATGGTTCACACAAGCATTGTCTTCCACATGCAGTTCCTCTCTAACTGGCATTCCCATTACTTTAATGGAAATAATTAACCGTCTTTTTGGGGGAAAAAAAGAACTTGGAAATGAAAATAAAATTATTATTATTCTTATTGTTACTATTGTTGTTGTTGTTGTTATTTACATATTTCATGTGTGTGTTAGCAACTAACTAATCACAAGTATATGTTAATAAAACAATAACAATAAATATGAAAAAATTAATAAAAAAATAAGAGAAGATAACACCATACTTAATATGAGAAAAAATGCATGTCCACAGTGTGTTACTTGCATAATCAAAACTTTGTCAACAAATGTGTGGTTGGATAAGGAAGTGACAAACAAACCCTAATTCATCCAACAAAGGAACATTCATCATCATTCATCTACATTTGCTTCACCATTGCCAAGTATAGACATTGGATAATAAAATCAAGTAAATAAAAGGAGGAGAGGGTCCTATAGTCGTGCCCCATAGCCACTTATTAACAAAGAGAGGGAGGGAGGATTGCATTAGTTAAAAGCATTTTATTGGGTGGGATCAATAGCCTTTTGGCTTCAACTAAAATACATATGTTTTTTTCTTGTAGAGTTCCACCAAATATTAATAGGAATTATAATCCCACTTCCACCCACAAAGGTTAACCAAAAAGTTAATTTGAAAATCAAATAACCTTGTGGGTATCTCTAAAAGAGATGCAAAAAAAGAAGGGCTTCAAATAAGAGTCAAGGAATAAACTACACAACAATAAAAGGAACCAATAATTAAATCTATTGAGCAATATACGAATAAAAATCAATGAATGAATAATGGGGCCGTGTTGTTTTTTGTGGGGTGATGTTGGCTGCTTTTTACAGTTTATTTTTTCTTCTCACTGTGCGAGTAAAGTCAACCTATTTTTTAATGTTTCAATTTATTTTATTTTATTAATACTCCCTATTGGTGTGTTTTTTATTTTTATTGTGTTTGTTCGTATATTACTTTCATTCCAACAAGGATGTGCCATGTTGCATATCATTTTCCACAACATCATCATAAGGAGGAAATTGAAGTGCGCCCCACTTTCATTATTATTTTTTTCTTTTTTTCTTTTCCCCTCCTGCACAGGGAGTCCAAATTCACACTTTATGCTTTTGAAATGTATTTCTTACTTTATATTATTTTAACATTTTTTTCCTTCAAAATATGCTTTTTGATTTTTTTTTCGCGGTCTTTTGCTTTCTTCCCCCGCATGCCACCTATTTCCCTCCATCTCCCACCCATTCAATTCTTTCCACGTGGCCTCCTGCTTCTCAAAATACACCTTCCCTCCCTTTGGATGGATGAAAATAGGATAGATGAATGACACACTTGTGTTTGAACAGAACATGGCTGTTATGTATCAGTTTAATCCAATTTTAAGTGCTATATATATATATATATATATATAGATATGCAATTGAAGAATCTCACCTGAATGTTTTATCCATGTACACATTAGTAATTGAATATCTTTATTGAGTGGGAAAAAAAGAAGCACAAGTTTAATAATGCTACATTTTGAGTAACAAATTTGACCACAAAAACTTCAACTTCTTGAATACCTCTCACAGTTTTGTTTAGTTTGATTCAGGGTCTGTGTTAACTCAAGGTTAGATTAACACCACTTCATGGAATTATGTATCTATAGACATACATACATGTATTTTATGTTTAGTGAATCTGACATAGAAATTATTCATTACACTCTTGTGTTTACATATGACGTGATATTTCTTTTTAATTGAGAATATGTAAAAGCTAACCTTGAGATCTACATTAAATATCGACTCAATGTTTACCTCAAGATTCAATACTGTATTGATTCTTTAGGAGGGAAAGTAAAGAATTGAAGAATGTTTTAGGCAGTGTTCAGATTTGTTTGTAATTGCACTCAATCTAACCATACATACATTGAATGTTGGAATGAAGGACAAACATTGAAGTCTACGTATATGTATATATATATATATATATATATAAATGTTTTCAAAAAGAATGTGAGAAAAGATGCTTCAAATTTGGATTGTCTTTTACTTCATAATTGTTCAGGCACGTTGACATGTTGTAACTGTGGTTTTTTTCAACAATGAACAATGCCCAGTTGACAAGATTGGGATTTATTATGAATTGTGTTTTCTTTGATTTTATAATGTAAATTTCATTGCATTTATTATTCTGAGAGTTGCATGTTGAAGTATTAAAACCTACTGAAATAAAAACTATGTGTGTGTTGAAGTATGTATGCATACATACATATCTATATATATATATATATATAAGTGTAACTATGTTCAGAAAACAACACTAAAAATGAACCGTTTTGCACCAGTGGGTTTTATTATCATTATTATCTTTTAATATATTTGAACTTAAGAAATGCATCCTACACTAAAAACACAAATGCCATGTTATCTATTGTGCCAAAACAATATTTTACTTGTTTGCTGTCGTGAAGGCAGATCCAGCAACGCAAAGCGATGTTAAAATTGACGTCTAATTAAAAAGAAAAAAAAAAGAAAAAAAAAAAGAAGATGAAATGGTGCCTTTACTTTGTGCTTTGAGGCATTTTCTATGTTTTTCTGAATAAAAATGAAAAATAGTGGTCACTAGTTCAAAATGTAAATTCTACATGCCCTGATTCTATTTAGAGGAAACAGAGGTGTGTAATGTTGAAGAAAATTAAAGACATTTTTATTTTAATAATATTAAGCACACAAACTATCCAGATGTTTTATGTGGGAGTGCAAAAAGTTTAAATTAAATTAAGTGTAAGTAGCTTGTTAATAGTTATCTTTAGAAAGAGAATTGTAACTGAGTTGTTTAGGCTAAAAATTCCTGCTTCTAATGTATGTTTTTATATATATATATATATATATATATATATATATAATTTTGCTATAATGTACTCAACCATAAGCTTCTAGAAACTTCTTACTGAGACACCAAATATAACCTTCTTAAACGGCATATCTCTTAAAGGAAATTCCAGTATATTAACACAAAATTATTCATTAAATTGATCAAAATTTTATTGAATCAACTTAATGGCTTTAAAAGCAAATGTTGCTAATGTTTGTTTGTTTGTTTTGTTTTGTTTTGTTTTTTTTTTTTGATGTTAAGTTTTTGCGAAGTAGCAGAAAATTATATATATATATATATATATATATATATAGTTTTTTCATATAAATATAAAACTAACTGGAAATTTGACGTTACATTTAGTTGATGATCTTTGAGAAGTTATGAACAATCCAAATTATGAACCTTATATATATATATATATATATATATATATATAAACATGTTGTCTTATACATTACAGTAAGTTTTCTATATATTATAATGTAATTGACAATTCAAAGATATAAATACATGAATATTATTTTAAAATATCAACTGTGTATTTATTTAATCACTTAAAAATTGAAGGAGGTTAGACACTAGTTTCACAACTCTTATATATATATATATATATATAGTCCAAAATGAATCAACCCACGAGTGAATAGCAAATACCTGTACCAAATAAATTGACGGTTCAGAACCCCAGCAAATAAAGTCGGACCATGTCTTATGCAAAACAGCACAAGAACACCCTGGTGTCTCAAAAATCATAAAAATAATGCACCCCCAAAAATGAAAAAGAAGTTTCTTGTGAGATAAATTTTCGGCCATCCTTTGTTAATGAATTAATTTTTCCACCCATCAAATTTTTCTGGGGAAAGGGGGATAACCAATAACCAATTCAAGGCCTACACAGACCATGCATGCCCCCTTTCTAAACTGGTTTCCAGGAGAGCATATTCCAGGGGAAAAAAAATGAGTCTCTTCACAAAAAAAAGATAAAACAGGGCCCTCTTCCTCGTCTACTGACTTTATTTACATTTATCTATATATATTTATGTATATATTATAAGCAGATGAGAAAGTGGGCGGCGAACTGCAAGGCTTCGGCTTCGGGGCAGGAGAAGTGCATGTGTGAACGGAGATTCGAGCACGGGGCGGGGGGGGGGGGGTGTTGGGACCGGCACCGGAGCCCGTGGGGAGCCGTGGTGTCTACGCCTCGGTCACGGCGGAGCTCGTCCGCGTGCGGGGTGCCGTTGACAAATATATCAGTGTCTCCAACTGATCAGTGCGACTCCTGGCCGGACGCACCTCAATCCATCGACGAAGCTGATGATGTTGATGATGCATCCATTGTTCGTCCCCCTTCCTTCCTTCCCGATTTTGCACCGCACTTTTGCATGTAGCGATGTGGTGCGAAAGCGCGGTTTGCTCGCGGTGGTCTTCCTGCAAATTGGGGCGGGGTGCGTGGTGGACGTAGCTGGGTGGGGTGGAGGAGGGGGAGGAAGAGGAGGACCCAGGCTGGGGAATCTGGCTGCATCTTCTGGTGGAGTATATGCCCATCAGTCACTTCTCCATTCACTGGGAACTCTAGTGAGGTGGAGATCGATTCACCGGCCTGTCGGATCTGGCCACAGTGGAAGAGGGAGTGGCGCAACGTGAGCATGATAGCGCATTTAGATGAGAACCCGGGGAAAAGCTAAATCTTCCGTTTTAAATCTCACCATCGTGACTGTTGTTGTGGGCCGACGACGAGCTGTGGGCGGTCCAGGGGTGGTCTTTCGTTAGTGGATGTGGGATTCGGACACGATACCAGCTGTCATGCTTGCAGCTTCCGCTTCAGTGTTTGGGTTTCGAGGGTGAGGCTTTTTGCTTGCGACGGGAGCCGGTAGCAGTTGGAGGAGTATTTCGATGACTGGTGATGTGTTGCTGGTTTGAGGCCAGACGTTGGTTTTGATGGTCGTGTGGGCGATGGTTCAGATTCAGCGCTGGGGTGGAGGTCGGCGCTAGAGTGAATAGGTTGTTGGGGGTGGTGAAGGAACAGGAAACCAAGCGACGCTGATTGGAGTGTTTCGATATTGTAGGTTGGTGCTATGCATTCCGTGTGTTGTGACTCCCAAAACCAGAAGCAAGTGAATTGTGATGCGGAGAAGGAGGGTTCATCTGCTCTTGATTCAAAGGGGCAAGCTAGCAAGGCCAGGGTCGTGGTAAGGAGGGAGTTTACAGTGTTGCAACTGGATAGAGAGGACTATCGAGGGATATGTTATGTCTGCGCGCAGAAGTAGAAACTAGTTAAGTTGCAGTTCCGATAAGCTATTCATGTTAAGAATTTATAGGCTCAAGTGGGAGAAAAGTATCGGACCGGTCTGGTTGGATCTGTGAGAGATGGCTTCGGATCCTGCCAAAACTGATTTCACCCATATACCACCATCGCTGCAACCAGAATCATACGCACAGGTGAAAGACTGCTCGGAGGAGGTGAGGGCAGCGCATGGGATTAATTTCAGTGTGGATCTGGTCTTGGCCGCCAAGCGCTACTTAGGTCTTCTTCGTAATATTGACAGCTTGCCTTGCCTTCATGGAGGCCCTGGCGTCATCCGCGCCATTCAAAGGTCATTCCTGCTTATGTTTTGCTCCTATTATTCATTGACACAATTATCGTATGATGATCACTGTGGAACAAAGTTTCAAGAATCCGCAAGTTGTCGACATTAGGGTCCCACGATGACAGCTTTCAGATCTGCATGATGGTGACTCAAGCACAATGTTCTGTAATTTGATGAATCTGTAGTTTTAATTGTTTCTTGTAGATATGAGCATCACTGGTTACCCTTGGTAGCTGACGCTCTGAAATTCGACTCGCTTCTTAACTCCTCTTCCCGGGGGAAGAGCCTCTTGCCGCCAATCGACGTGCAGTGGATCTGGCTCTGTCATTGTCTGAATCCGGTACGTGATCCTCCCGGCTTCGCAACTGAGGTTTACGACAGTCCTTGTCAAAGGTATTGACATTGTCCCTGATGTGTTGGGTTTGTATCTCTTTTACAGGTAGAATACAGAAAGTATTGCACTCGGAGGTATGGACGGGTTATCGACTACCCCGTTCTGCCGGATGTCGCGAGCGAGGTGAGTGCGCAGGAGAGATGCAAGAAGTTGTGGACAATTCTGTACCCGAAGGAGCCTTTCGACATCTTGGCCACACTTGTCAAGCTCCCTGGGGGATTTGGGAACCCAAAACAAGCGTCCTCGACTAAAGAAGTCGATGGCTCAGAGCTTGCCCGAGAGCTTGTGTCAGTCGTTGAAAAGCAAAGCAGTTTCTACTACCAGGTATAGCTTCGGACAGAACCTCATACAAACACTCTGGAAGGGATTTATTTTCTACGTAATTGCGGAGATGCAAATGGCTATGAATCTTACTCAGCGAACTGGTGTGTACATTCCCAGGTCTCAAAGCGATATGTGTGGGAGGACTCATTCCTCCTCACTGCGAAAGAAAGATACAAATGCTTTCTACACATCTTGCGAAAATTTCAGGGGAAAGTGTTGTGTGTGCCAACTTTCGATATCGAACTCATGTGGCACGCGCATCAGGTATGCACCTCAAGGGGATTTACCCGTATTACAATGTAAATGCACTCCCTACCACTTCCACAAGATCACCCCGTAATAATCTGAAGTAAACGAGGTACAGGCCGAGGTTAGGGCGTGACTTTTTTTTGTTTGGAAATCGCAGCAAGTGCCAGTGTCTTACGCCAAAGACACGGAGGCCATCATCGGAAGTGTTGTTGACCAAGCCGACAATTTAGAGAGAGGGCCAGGCACTAAGTTCGGGAATAGCTTCGAGGACACGGCGATGCTGTGGGAGACTGTATACGGACATCCTTATGAACAGGCAGGAACTCTCTACAGTGACTTGAAACCCGTGAAGCTGCCAGCCCCGCCGTCATCCGAAGTCACAGGGAGCTTACATGTGCTGGAAAGAGTACCCGTGTTTCTACCCTGGGATTTTCGAAGCAAAGATCTGAATGCCACGAAGTACCCTGTCCTCACTCAGAGACTTGTCTCGCAAGTAAGTAGTTGCCGTTGCACATTCTGAATTTGCTGTTGTGGGGGTAGGACATGGCGGAGTGTGTGCTGACTGGTTTGCTCCATCGTGAATCCAGGTTTGTGTGATGATCAAAGGCACTTCGAACTTAGTGACGCCAGTCGGGATGAAGAATGCGGAGCTTTTCGTGAGGTTGAAGGCGCTGGAGTCTTACAAGATGCTAAAGCTGGATGCTCTAGTGGCGCCTTCTAGTGAGCCCAACTGGCAGAAACTGTGGATCCTGCAATGCGAAGCTAAAACGAAAGGAGTGGTGTTGGAGTTGCGGTACCACGCCGATGGATGCCTTCGGACCTTGCGCAAGACAAAGCGCATAGGTGGGATGAGAATCACGTGGTCGGAGCTCCAGAAGATGCCCATGCTTTCACAGGAGGTCGTGTGGACGCTAGGGAAGAAACGGATCAATTCCCACGCTGGAACGCATCCCGTACAGCTCCGCCTTGGAATTTCTATGACACCTCCAGCTCTGGGTTCTTACTTGTTGAAATCGGTTCCAGATAGGGTCACGGATGACAAGGGACAGATGCTATCCAGCACGATAGTGCGCATGAGGCGAAACCAACCGCAGAGCGGCCGCTGGGTATCGCGAACTGTGCTCAATCATGCAGGCAAGGAGAACTTCGTCATTCGCATTAGAGCTGCCAAGGGTATTTGGAAGAAGAACGGAGATCGACCTGTCGGTGTAGATTGGGATGATCGCATCATCAATGTTCACGAAGGAGGGTGGAACTACGTTGCCAGCGGCATTGGCATTGCTTCTGGTAAGTGTTCCAAGTTTTCGGCTGTCGCAGAATTCTTGAAGCAGGTCGTTTGACTTCTGTACGACAGGAAGGCATTTGCATGGTTGCGGACGGGTACTAAAGTTGGCTTTCAACCGTACTACAGAGAAGATTATCGGAACCGCCAAACCTAAAGCCCATGAATTGGAGGAGTATAAACTAAGCTGGGCGTTGTCTACTGGAGATACCCTTGTCGTCTCTAGACCGATGGGAGCTCTTGATTGGGAGCGACATCTTGAGTTCTTTCTCAAAACTCCTGACGCAAACGCCGGCTTGGTAAGTCTACCAGTCCATGTGCAATTAGGCGATCCAGTTGAATTCCTAAACAAAAGAAGTGACTTAGGTCTTGATGTGTCAGTATACTACTGTTACTCGCGTTAGGTGTGAAACTAAGATTCAGGATGTGCTCAATACAGGCTCGACTAGTGAATGGACGAAAGTTGCAGTACGAGGTGCCGGGTGCAACTTCGGAGGAGGAAGACGGCTTCGTAACCCTAATACGGTACAGCTCACAGTGTCCGCTAGGCAGGGCAACTGCGCTCTTCAACTTCAAAGTCTCCATAATGGAGGTTGTTCCGGAGGAAGACGTCCTTCTAGTGCTGCTTCTTTGCACTGCCACTCTCCGCTCTATAGCTGATTTCGGCGGGTTAACCGCTGGCAATGTTTACACCCGTCGACGGGCTCGTGAAAAAAGACCGGGACTCAAGGATTGGGGCTCTGTGGTTCTAGAGAACGGTAGCAAGCAATCCCCTCTCACCTCATGGCACACGAAATGCGCCGAATTCAGCGACGACGACACGGAAGACGGTGAAAATCTTCCCGGCCGAGTCGCGGCTGATTGGGGAGGCGAAGAATCCCTCCCTGCTTCACTCCCCGGATCCCTACCGGGCTCAAGGCGAATTCGCTATCTGCCACCTGCTGCAGGTGTTGCACACGAAGTAGTCGCACATGCAAATACTGGAATGTGGGGACGCAGAACGGGAAGCGGCATTCAACTTGACAGATAACCCATGACACCAGGATCCATTGTATGGGATCTCCTTTTGTATGATAATTTAACCATGCGGTCGATTGCAGGAGTGAATCGATTGCTGGTCTTCGGAGACTGCAGTCAATCTCCGGACGTGACCTACCAAGGTTTGATCAGTATCTCTTTCTGTAGAGTAGTTCGCAGGGCGGAATTGGCTGATTGCGAATTCATTGGGTACGTTGAAGGAAGAATAGTGGAATATCACAACGTATTATTGTAACCTGCCATTACAGTGCACTTATGGAAGCAAATGATTTGACGGAGTGAAGTCACGCAAGTGTAATAGACCCTCCATACTTTCACATTTAGCAAAATTTGTCTTCTAAATAGATACGGATTTCGAGATTGGATTGCTGCTCGTTCTGACAGAAAGGTACCATTTACAGGAATGTTTTTGTATAATCTGTCTTCATTTTAGTTGATCCTTCATATAATTTCTGGCGCTTTGCAGCCAGTTTCCATCTGAAGAAAATAATAAAATTCTTTTTATATCTTGTTAGTTGAACATTTTTGATACAATCTGGTGGAATGAGATCCCCTCACTTGTTGCAGTTGAGGTAGTTTTGCAACACTCACCTCTCTTCTCCACGTAGAAGACATTATTATGAAAGAATTTGCTATGCACGTAGAAAAAGCTGGATATATTTTGCTGTTTGTCTGAGTGATAAGCAAGCACTGTGGCTCTGGAAACGGATACGTTGTCAAAACAATGCTGGAATCATGCCTCTAATGGACAAGCGATGTGGAGCAGTTTAACCATGCATCAAGCACTCGCAGTACGACTTCTTTCGTAGTGGACTGAATGGGATTTTCCGCATCAACATACTGTCCACGAGTTAGTTCCTCTCAAACTGTTCTTCTGAACAATCTCAAGTCGGAGAGGGCGACTTCTACAGATTTACTTCCATCATGCTTCGTCGTACGCGTTTTTATGGTTCTGTAAGTGCAGAGGGGGAAGATCATTAGAGATTCGGAGAGGGACGCTGAAGAAGTGGCAGCTATTGCCCAGGTTGTGAAAGTTTTGACTCGAGGGGGGCTGGGGCGGGGTTGGGCTTTGAACAGGACTCAAAGAAGGGTATTAGCTAAAGTGTCTCTCTTCCCTCTTCAGAAGCGTCACCATTAGGTCAGTACTTTCCTGACAAGAACTGACGTTCAAATTCCCTCATATCTGTGGTCGTAAATGCTCAAGAGCCACCTCCCTCGCCACGAGTCTCCTGTTATGACTGATCCTTACAGTTTGAAATTCAGGCCTTAAGGTTATGTGGGTCGTCCTGATTCTTATGCATCAGTTCTGATTTTGCCCCTTCGTTGTTCTAAGCATCGTCTCTCCCGTCTTGATTGATAGTCTCTTGTTGCACGAACACTCGGCCTAGTCACTTTTCGAAATTCAGTTGTAGGTCCACTCGATTGCCTTGGATCCAAATTCTAAAAGTATTGTTAATAAAATCAGAATAACATGCAGGAATATTTTAGTTCGACAACTCGAGAAGAAGCAATCGTTTGTCATGCAATTGCACAAGAATGAGCTATTTTAATTTTGATGTGGAAGCAACCTTTGAAATGTATGCGAAGCCCTGAGATGCAGTTTCAAGAGGAGCAGGTAGCGATTTGAGCTAGAGTCGAACCGAAGTCCCTGCGATGGAGTAGCACCGGTAAAGCGTGAGTCCAGACGGAGCGTCGAGTCTATTAGCTAAAGCTAAGTACGTTTATCATCTTCTTTAATTTTCGTGGCCAACATCCACTTTGAAAGTTGTAGTGCCCACTTTTATTTGGTCAAGTACATTCAGTGACAGGTTTGAGAATATTCTTTCGGAAGCAACGTTTGTAGGTATGTAAGTTACAATGCTTATTAGAACGTATTTATTTCTATTCAACCACGTTTTAATTTGATCATTAACTCACCTTTGAAACCTACTCTACAATTCATTTTACAAACTCTTCACAAAACGTGTTTCGTCTTCCCATTCTGTGGATTAGCGGATCGGCGGATTTGTGGTGGTGCTCACAGCGGACTGACGATCTGAATTAGTGGGACTTGGAACACATGAGATTCACACCAAAAGTTTCGTTGCAAGTTTCCCTCTGTCATCGCCAAATCTTTTAAGCGCACTACCGTCTTGGTGGAGCTCCACGATAATTTAAAAAAACCCTGGTTAAATGATGGACTCAAGTTTTTGGTCAGTGAATATTATGAAAGGACGGTCCACAGCACCAGCACAATAACAACGTTGCTTGACATTGCGGTAAAAGACGGCGAGGAGCAGCGCGCATACCAACCCTTAGAAGTTGCGAAGGTATGTGGAAGGCTTTATCTAGAAGGAATGCTTGCGGCGGAGCAGGTGCTCGCAATGAAGGTGCACATCGCATTCTAACAACTGGGATCATTGGAAGATTCCAGTCACAGCGAAGGTTTCTATAGTGACGAAATTGAAAGGACCCTTACAGTTACTTGATGATTAGCGTCTGCAATTCCTATTTCTTTGGGGGGCAAGATCCGCGATAAACACAATCTGCTGGCCAGCAGTCTCTGGTCATCTTTTCAGCTTAGAGTAGAAAGACCCGTTTATTTTCCTGTCTTCCATAACAGATCTCGTCGGCACACGCCTTTTGTCGCAGTGAGGTTACCTATTGGTCTCCAATGTAGCCTCTGTCATGAAGCTCTTTCAACACTTCTAAGTACTTTACTTTTGTTCCGCAAAATCGAAAGCGAACGCGTGCGTTTCGTCACAGTCTCAACCAGTAGGGTTCAGGATTTAAGACCACTTCCTTTAAACAGAAGTACTTTCAACTTTTTGTGCAGGTGGTTTTTGTTTCCCTGCGTTAGTGCTTCAAACCCTCTCGTAGTTTCATGCATGAATAAGGGGTTAATTTTTCTTCGTCGGTCGTTCACAATACCAGCTCCGATAACTGAATTTAGTTATAATAAAGATGCGCCTCGCTGCACGTGTTGAAAAGCCACAGTAACAGAAATGTCTCTACTCGTATGGCAGGAAGTGCACGTGGGTACCTTGCCCACGCATCATCAGAATTGATTTGTCGACGAAGTATCGATTACCTGTCTTTCGACCTGCGAAGGCCACTTCAGGGTAGTAACAATGTTCCCAATAGCTGTGCCTTAAGCATTTATCGAAGCTTGCCTCTGATCCGATCCAATCCGTGCATCTCGCTCCCTTGAAGCACAGTGAAATTCAGAAACATCTTGCAAGGATGACAAGCTTTGTCTTACAGGCTTCTCAAATGGTGCTTTTGAGCCTTGCTTGTCATAACGATGTGACAAGTTTTGAGTAAAGGCTGAAAAGCTTACGCGTGAATGTTGTGATCCCAGATTTTCACATATTCCAAGGTGTGCTGTGAGGGCTTTCCTTGACGCAAACGCCTGAAACTACTCTAGGGCAATGCTTCACTTTCAATGTTAACATATCAATTTAGTGAGATGCCTTCGATTGTGAACTGTGGTTGGGAAGAGGAGCCTAGCCACGACTTTGATGTAAAGAGAAGGAAATAGATGCATCAATTTCAAGACTTCCGTGCCTTGCGACGACCAATTTTCATTCTCGAGATGCGGTTGGGCACCTGGGGCTTCTAATCCAGTTTCTGTTGCTAACCCTAGAGAAGAACGAGCAAAAACCTTAGTCGTTGAGAGGACGCCTTTCATATCCTCTGGTAGATACAGAATTTTGGTACATATTGAGGCAAAAGCAGCACGTATGTGTTTCAAAATGAAGCGGTCTGCAGTTGCTGTATGGGTTTTATTTTATGGAGTTCAGTTGATGTTACCACAAGGTGCAATGGCAGTGATAAGGAGGAGGTTCTTCGTAGGGAGCGTTGTGGGGGAGGAACGTTATGCAGGGAGCACCCAGTGGCCTGTCTTGGAAAACCATGCGAGTGCAAAATACTGCGTAGAGCCTTGCACGACGATGGTCCTGGAAGCCTCTGCACAATGCCACAGCTGCCTTCTTGCTCATCCTATGATTCCACAGTACATGCAGATGATCTACTGGCAGCTTATTTCGGATGTGCTAATAGCACTGGCCTACTTCTCGATTCCTGTTGAGCTCCTCTATTTCATCTATAAAGCACAGGTAGGAGGTAATATTATTCTAACCACGACATTTTCCTCTAAATCGTCCTACCTGTGCATGCAAAAATGTCTGCGTGAATGTACTTGCATTGTTGCCGAATATTTCCTATTAATACCAAAGTTAAAAAGAAACTCTGGCAGTATTTTCAAGGACGTTGAGCAGTAAGGCAATTCCATTTTATTGCGAAAGACACTATCCTGAGGGTGAGATTTCGCGAACTCTTGATCAGATCCTTCATGACAATGAAAAACTTGGTTGCAGGTATTTCCATATAAATGGGTAGTGGCTGAGTTCGGTGCCTTCATAGTTCTCTGTGGGCTCACACATCTCATAAACGTCTGGACTTTCGAAGCGAGTGCAGCAGATGCAACCCAAACCATGACATTTTTTAAAGTGGCTACTGCTTTTGTATCTTGCGCTACAGCCGTGACACTCAGTTGGGTTATCCCTGAAGTCTTAGGCGTGAAGAAGCATGAGCTTTATCTTGTTGGAAAGGTAAATCCTGTGTTTGATAGCTTGTGAGATATTGCTCCTCGACTTACACATATGGTAGTTGTTTGGCCAATACTATCAGAATAAATCTTCGAGTTCATAACAATGATAAAGCGAAGGTCATTTTGGCATTTGCTGATGCTGGCAAGTGGCATAATCTAAGATTAGTGTTGTCAATGGAGGGGGCTTCCTAGACTGCAGAACTGGACAAGGAAGTGGGAGTTATGAAGAAGAAAGAAGAGACAGGAAAATACGTGCGCATGCTAACGAGTGAAATTCGAAGTTCACTCAACCGCCACACCATTCTGAAAACCACCCTCGTAGAGCTGGCCCAGACGTTGAAACTCAACAATTGCAACATCTGGATGCCCACAGCTGATGGCAATACTTTTCAACTAAATCATGAGCTGGAGGTGGATAGAGTCGTCACACCGTCGAGAGTTGCTCACCGTGCGGTCCCTCGATCAGACTCTGGCGTCCTTCACGTAAGAATTACCTCTTAAACAGAAAATGTCTCATCACGTTGGCGGTCGATTGGTGTTCAGGACGGTCTATATAGCAAAATCGGTGGTCGTAGTCGGAATACAGTCAGTCCAACATATAGGTTTTCTCTTAGCATTATGTATTTTTGGAATTTAATACGAGGTACTCAAAGGTTTTTGCATTGATATTGTGTGTACTTGGGGTAGGTTCTAAACCAGCAAGGAGCTCACATTCTTCCTCCAGACTCCCTGCTTGGAAGGCACAATTGTCCGGAAACAGAAGACGTCATTTGGGAAGACCGTGTTGTAGCTGTGAGGCTACCTTATATGTGTACTTCCAACTATAAAGAAGCAAAAGAAACCGATCTTGCGAATGGTCATTTTGATGCAGGATCGTCCTCGTATGCCTTGCTGGTGCTTGTCTTGCCTTGTGATCCGGAGAGAAAGTGGCAAAATGATGCCCTGGATTTGGTCACCGCGGTTGCAAGCCAGGTTATTGTTGAAAAACCCACTGAACAACCAGAGGAGCTAGGCAGTTTAGTTGTTAAGTCATCAATCTGCAAAGTTGCAGTTCGAATGTGGGTTTCAGATAATTCTGACAGATATCATATTTTCAACACTTCATACTTGCGAATCGACTCTTTTTTACTCTTGATATGTTGATAGATATGTATACATTTTGCAGCGAGTTGGATCTATCAAGTGCACAAAGTGGTTCACAAGAATGCAGCTTATATACCATCACTTTAAGAGAATAATTCAAATCATTCAAGATTGAGACTATTGCCTGAGGACCATGATTGATAATGTGACTCAGGTTGCGGTTGCACTTTCTCATGCAACAGTGTTGGAGGAGTCGATGAACGCACGGGACCAGCTATTGTCTCAGAATTTGGCCCTTCAAATTGCAAGGATGGAGGCGGAGGAAGCAGTAGCTGCCCGCAATGACTTTTTGGCTGTAATGAATCATGAAATGAGAACCCCTATGCATTCTCTAATAGCTCTCACTTCCATTCTGTTGAAAACAGAGCTAAATGACGATCAACACGCTATGATAGAAACCATGAGTAAGAGCAGTGGCCTCCTCTCTTCATTGATCAACGACATTCTTGATTTCTCCAGGCTTGAAATCGGGGGCCTCGCTCTGGATGTAAACGTGTTTAAACTTCCTAATCTCATGCGTGAGGTGGAAAATATTGTTCGCCCCTTGGCAGCCTCGAAGAGAATCTCCTTGATCTTTTTAGTGCCGCGAGACCTCCCAGAGGATGTCCTGGGAGACTGCAACCGCATTTTACAAGTCATGCTGAATGTGGTTAGTCCCTCTTAATCCGCAAAACCATGATTCTCATGATGTGTATCAATCTGCAACGTCAATGCGAAATTTGAATTAAGTTGAACAGGCCTGTTTTGTATAGATCGGAAATGCAATTAAGTTTACTTTGGAAGGAGATGTGCGAGTTTCGGTGTACATGGGCGACAAGGTTGGTAGTGGGCCTGTCATGTCTACTGGCTCAGCCGACCAACCACTCACACCGAAACAAGCATCAGAGTATCGCTTCCTTCATGTTGACGTTAAAGACACTGGAATCGGCATCAAGGCCATGGATGTGCCTCGCTTATTCAATAAATTTGTTCAAGCTGACAGCAGTACAACTCGGAACTTCGGAGGCACTGGCTTGGGCCTTGCCATCTCAAGAAAATTCGTGGAGGTACCTCTCTTAGAGAATTTCAGTCTAAAGCTCAAGCAAGTTCATTCAACTCGTAATCCTTCTAAAAAACCTTAAATCCATCTCTGTGCTCGGACCCTGATCAAGTCTAAAAGAGCTCAAAATGAAAATGCGTTTCTGCCATTGTCATGAAGACTTTCAGTTCGCGGAAACATTTGTGGTGAGCCCTGGTTATGCTACATCATCACCTTCTATTTCTAATACTAAGCCAGATTGCTATCACAGTTGATGGGTGGGAGTATATGGCTCGAGAGTGAGGGACTCGGAAAGGGCACAACATGCAAAATGCACATTTCGATTGGCATCTGTGATTTAAACGTGAAGCGGATGCGGAACAGCCCTCGAGTCGATAAGGCGGCTTTGGTCTTATTAACGGATTTAAAGGTTGGTCACTGTATCAATTTACTTATGTTTATGTGTTCCTTAACTTGTTTGCATGATCTTCAAGAAGCAAAGAAGGGAGCATCTATCCTGTCCTCTTCAGCTCCGTTCAATGCTAAGCTGCGCTTGTAATGTCTAAATTCATTGACTTGCTATTCGTTGCGTTTGTAAAAGGTTATGGTGGTAGATGATAACCCCATCAATCGAATTGTCACACGGCGGTTGCTTGACACCATTGGGTGCAAGTCTACAGTGTTGGAATCCGGCCAGAAGTGCTTGGACGTCCTCTCCGAGAAAGGACCTGCAGCGTTTCACATAATCCTTTTGGATCTTTGCATGCCTGAGGTTCGCAATACTCCTACATTTTGTGATCAAAGTTTTCACGTTCCAGCTTTCTCTTCCCAATTACTACTTGAAAAACCTACAGATCTTCAGATAAGACAGTTAACAACAACGTTCAGTGCACGGTTCTAGACTGTGTGAACAGAAATAATAATCAAACTCCTTGTGTGCAGATGGATGGATTTACCGTTGCAACGGAGATACTTCGAAGGTACGGGAAGACCAGGAGGCCTGTCATTTCTGCATTGACTGCGAACTCCGACACCAAAACTCGTGAGCGCTGTTTTGCGACAGGCATGGATTACGTTCTAATGAAGCCTATCAGTTTGGAACTTTTGAAATCTGAACTAGTCAAATTACTAGACTTTCACGAGGAGCTCGATGTTCCACCTCAGCTAGATAGCAAAATCACCGATGAAGCTGTTCTAGCACCTTCTGATTATTCCTCTGTAACGCTTCCACAGCCGGATCACACCGAGACCTCATCCTCAGCACCTCAACTACTCATGCCCCCTATTCGAGAGCTGCATTATAAAAACGACGATTCATAACAAAAGTCTTAAATGTTGTGAAACTAGCCTCCTCAGAGATGCCGAAATGAAGAGCGTTAACTGTGAGATTCAAGTTGAACTGTTCTTGTAGTAATTTGAGCTATTCCAACATGAATGATTTGTTGTGATAAGGGAGTGTTTCTGGATTTCGGACCAGAGTCGATTCTAGTTATTTGGACAAGTTAGTTCGCATTTGCAGATGCCATGCTTCGTTTCCAACACGATGCACACAGTGTTGGTGCCTGACCCATCTCTATTTTGCGTGAGAGATGATACTTTTGTGCTTGTTTCTCTGGCAGTCACTAGTTGCGTTTGTGCCTTTTGAGCACCAGCATCAGCCCACTTTCAAAGCGGCAAACACAGCAGGTCATGGAATATCTCTCCCCCTTGCAAAACAAAGTGGCTCATAACTAATCACCGTGAAAACTACATTATTCATGTAAGGCAAAGAAACAAAATTGTACTCTCTTCAGTTCTCTTTAAATGAGTATTATGCTGAATGTTATTTTGGAATGAACTACGAGAAGGCTACACACAAGTTGTGTTGTGGCAAGTTTGCATAATCAGGAAAAGATTGATAAGAATGAATAAAATTTGGAAAACTTACAAAATGGCTCAAAGTTCCTTTCAAACATGTGATCAACTTTAAATTAGTCTTAAAATGGAATCAAAATCAAGTTTTTGTATTGATACTCTGTTATTTTTATTTTTATTTTTTTATATGGAAAATCATGATTGATTATGTAATTATTATATTTTTGGTTTACTTCATAATAGTGTAGAAATAAAGAAAAAATATAAATTAATCATTAGAAAATTAATCTGAAAATTTGTCTTAGATAGCAAAGAATTTTAGATATGAGTTTTTGTACCAAAACTTCCCTTATGTTTTAATATATTCAGTAAAATATTAGTAAATATTCATAAAAAAATAAATTCTAGTTTTTTTTGTAAAAAATTAAATTAAAAATTCCTTATTATTTTAATTTTCTCATATTAGGATTATTTTTTAAAAATTGTCAATTAAATTTCAACCAAGAAAAGAAAAGAAAAAGAATAAAGAAGCATAAAACATAAAAAAATACCAATTTTTTAGAATAATTAACCATGTATTCAAAAAAAATATTTAAATTTCATGAATCTTACTACTATCTAAATATTTATTTTTTCTTTGAATTAAATATATTATTTATTTAATTATATTTCTAAAAAAACCATGTTTAATTTAAATTTAAATATTCAATCACTTTTTAGAAAAAAAAAAAAAAAAAATTTTAAAAAAATCTATTAAAATAGGATTCTATAGTCAATAATTAGATCCATATGTGTTAGCAATTTTTTTTATAATATATGCCAAATATTTCTCTTAGTCTAATTAATAAAATGTACTACTTCAATCTTTTAAATTACTTTGATTAATCTTGTATTAGTTTTTTTTCCAAAATTTGATTTGTGATTTAAATTTACTAAACTTATTGGCTTTATTATATCTCATTTTTATTTGCAATAAAAAATAAAATTTGATTTTTTAAATAGAAATAATAAATATATTTTACTAAATTTTGTTCTATGATGTTATTATATATTTTTAAATCTCAAATTTTTTCCTTGGTTGGAATTTTTGTTAGAGATTTGCACAAGATGTGTCACCTTGAATTAGTTTTATTAATTTTATATTAAGATTTTTTTCATGTTATATGTTTTATGTTTTATGTTTTTTTTTTTTTTTTTTTCTTATTTGAAACAAAAGATGAAATTTCTATGACACACTTTATAGTAAAATCTTCAAAATTAAAATTTGAACTACCATTACTTTAATATTTTATGTTCTTTAAATTCAACTTGCCTAATTGAACAAAAAAAATATCCAATTAATAACTTAGAAGTTTTACTTCATTATTGCACATAGGTAAAAATGAATTCCAATACTAGTCTTGATTCTACCTTGCTTGCTACCTATGGATAGTAGCCTAGTACTACGCAAGGCAAAACCAAAACTGATATTAATGATGATATCTAAAAGATTGAAGTTAGTAGTTAAAAGGACCTATACCAATGGCACTAGAATACTATGGTAGTGAATTACAATGGTATGTAGCTTGTGCAAGGATTGATTCTAGCTACTTGTGTAGGAGACCATTTATGCTTTTGTCCTTTTTCTATTTATCTTAATTCTTCCTCTGATTTTGGCCAATGCTTCTATAGGCTCTCCTCTCCTTAAGCCTAAGTTCCAATCTTTTGACCCTTCTCTATTTGCCCTAGTCTTCTCCTAGCTTTGGCCAAGGCTCCCTTGATCCTAAATTTTAATCTTAACAAAGGGATCCAACCTAAAACACGTGTATAAAACATTTGTCAAAAGCATCTCAAATCTATTCATAAATAAAAATTATAAAAAATTACAATCATACAAGCAAAGTTCCTTTTTTAACCTAATCTAACTTACCATCCTTTGGTAGGTAAGTAAAGACAATTACATATGAGAGAGTTGATTGAATAGAAGAATGGTCCAAAACTAGAGAGTGAGTGAATGTAGAAGGGGAGAGCCTTTTATAGAGAGAGAGAGAGAGAGCAACCGTACGCCGCGACAGCCACGGCGATGGGGGCAAGTGCCACCACATCCCCAGATTCTCCTGAAGATTCTCCTGAAGCCGTGCAGCGTCACCACAAGTGGCATCGTCTCTCTCGTGCCCCGTTGCCTTTGCTTTGCTTTGTATTTGTTTTGTATTTGCATTTGAAGAGTAGTGGTCTTCTTTCTGGTGGTGACTCTTCTGTTTGCAGTTTCGCCAATTCCTCCTCCTCCTCCTCCTCCCACTGTTTGTTTGTTTGTTTGCTCTTGCTCATCAACTCCAAACCCTCTCTCTCGTTCTCTCTTTCACCTGCATTCCACTTCATATAGGTGAGTGAACCCCATGGGGAGGGACCCATCTCGATCCTTTGCCTGCTTACCTCTGATGAGTTTTCTTTCTTTTATTCTTTGAAGCTTCTGTTATTTTGCCAAATTTGCTTCTGACTTATGGTATGGTAGAATTATGGTTCTGTGTCTTTGGAGGATATGTGTGTTCGTTTACGAGGGATAGAGTGATATCTGAAGCGCCTTTGCTTGATGATCCACATACAGTGAATTCACCGGCTGTTGTCATTCGTTGTTTTCTTCGCCTTTTGCCTTGCACCTGAGCTCTTTATTTTGACTCTAGAGACTTTTGGGTTTTGAGAGAACCTCGTGCTGGGCAATTTCTGTCCAAGATTTTCGTTCGTTTGTTGGATTTCTACATGCGATTATAGTGTGTACCGCTGCTACCTGAATGCTATCCGCCACCTCTATGTTGCCTCGGTTCATCGTTGAGCTCCTTCAATCATTTCGATATCTGCCAAATATTGGTGCAGGAGTTCAGAGAAGATGGAGATATTCATAGTTTCCATGGCAAGATTATTGAGAGAGCGCCTTGTTGCGACCTTTTCTTACACTTACTGGTCATTCTGAGATTGCACTTCTTGTCCGTGATGGTCCTCAAATTCATAGAATTGTGTTCCTTGAATGCCTTTTGTGAAATACAGTCACAAACGTGGACCCAATCGGTAAGGTAGTCCTTCTATTTTACGAAACAATAGAATCCAGAAAATTTTGGTGTTTGAGATTACAAGCTCCTAGTGATCACTTCAACAACTATGGCGTACGTGGAGAATTCTTGAGAGACATGTTGATGTGAACTGTGTGGCACTTAATTAAAACCTAATCGTGTGAGAGAGAAGAAGGTATTGCCCAATCAAGCGTTCTGTAGCTAGTCCAGTGCTAAAAACATTTACCTTAAATTCTATCTGCCTGAGGCGCCAATTTATTTGTTTGAGCTTTCCTACACAAAATTCCGCAATCTGCTTGCTATTCTCCATTCTACGCTTTCTTTCGCAATGTCGCATTCTTGTGGCCCCTGTGCACGATCTCTTCACGTTGATGAAGTTCGACGGGGATATTCTGGTGGAAGCAGGATAACCGAAAAGGCGTTACCAGGTTCTTTAAAATGGAGGGAGATGATAAATTCAAGCTTGCTCCCCATCCCAAGCTGCCGAAGGGCAAAAAGCTCATGCTCATTATCCTCGATGGCTGGGGTGAGCAGATTCCAGATGAGTTTAATGCTATTCACCGCGCACAAACTCCTATCATGGATTACTTGAAAACTGTAAGAGTTAATTCTTTCTTTTCGGTTTTTTGGTTTTGTGATAACAAACGATTATCTAGGGTCAGTTTTGAGCTGCGAAGGAAAACTGGATCAATATCATCCATACAGAGCGAGAGAGAGAGAGAGAGAGAGAGAGAGAGAGAGAGGGGCCAGATTTGACATCAAATTGGTATTTTTGGAGCCTGATAACCATTTTGGAGTCATATTGTCACGGCTGATACCGAGATTGCTCTTTCATAATTTGTGTAGACTGCTCCGGAGAAGTGGCGATTGCTTAAAGCCCATGGAGCTGCGGTAGGGCTACCTACGGAGGAGGACATGGGTAACAGTGAGGTTGGCCATAATGCTTTGGGTGCAGGCCGCATTTTTAAGCAAGGGTATGTCATGCTGGTCTAGTAAATCAGATATCTTAGTTTCCATCATGGGTGCGATATCGAGACAATGGCTTTGGTAATCGTTGCTCACTGTAGGCTAGTTTGTTGAGGTTGCAAGTCAAGACTACAGGCTGAATCGCTGCAAATGATGGTCCATATCAAAATATTGATTGATTACCAAGGAAGAGTGAAACTCCAAGAACAATCACTAAGGTTACTTGTAAAGACATGTTAAATGATCTTACAATTGCCTACTCAGCAGCAGATTGATCCTCGTGTGAAAGTTGATCTGTTCAGTGCAAGCCTCGTTGATACTTCTCTCGAGTCTGGTGCGATATATGAAGGTGATGGCTTTAAATATGTGAAGCAGGCGCTGCCCAACGGCACCCTTCACTTGATAGGTCTTCTGAGTGATGGTGGAGTGCATTCCCGGATGGACCAACTCCAGGTTTGTGCAATCTCACACATGGTTGATGATGCTGTATGTTTTCCTTGAAGATGTGACATTGAATTTACTCCAGCTGACGACGTGATCTTAATTCATGTAGTCTTCTTCTTGCTACATCCCTTCCAGTTGCAGCCTAACATATTCATCTTCTTGCGACTTTTATGTCAATCTACTGTATGAGCAGCTTGAAAATGTCTATGAATGGGCAAGCCTCGAATCTTTGCTTTGGTTGAGATAGTTAATCCCAGATGTGTCGTTTATGTTCGTTTTCGGCAAACTTCAGCTGAAAGCATCTTTGACACTAGATGGGGTTACTACTCTCTGCAGATGCTCTTGAAAGGTTCTGCTAAGCAGGGATTCAAGAGAATCCGAGTGCATGTTTTGACGGATGGTCGAGATGTAGCAGATGGTTCTAGTCTCAAATTCGTCCAGATGCTCGAAGATACATTGGGCGAATTGCGTCAGGACGGTTGTGATGCACAGATCGCTTCAGGTGGTGGCCGCATGAGGGTCATTATGGATCGATATGAGGTATTTAGAACTTTACCTGGCACTTGAGCTTATCTATCATCAGTGTATAATAGCTTTTAGCAGAATGATCTTTTGTTTAACCATACAGTGTGGCATTTTGGCTTGATTTGAAAGAAATAACACGTTGCTGCTGATTAAAGTGCGGTAATTACTTACTGAAAGTCACTTGTTATTGTTACTGCAAAGGGTGCTTTTGACTTCATGTGTACATGATTTTGGTTTCCCACATCAGGATCAACGCTGTCCTCTTTGATTTGGGTTTACATTTACTTCTGAACTCACCCATGTTTGTCTGCAGAACGACTGGAATGTGGTGAAAAATGGTTGGGATGCTCAGGTGCTTGGAGAAGCTCCCCACCGGTTCACTAGTTGCCTCGAGGCTTTAAAGAAGCTTAAGGAGGATGATCCTGGTCTGAATGATCAGTACTATCCTCCCTTTGTTATTGTTGATGAATCCGGTAAGCCTGTCGGACCCATTTTAGATGGAGATGCTGTTGTGACCTTCAATTTCCGCGCGGATCGTATGGTTATGCTTGCCAAGGCTCTGGACCATGAGGACTTCGACAAGTTTGATCGCGTACGATATCCCAAGATCTATTATGCTGGCATGCTGTTGTACGATGCCGAACTCAATCTTCCGACCCACTACCTAGTGTCCCCACCACAAATATCAGAAACATCGGGTGAATACCTGGTTCACAATGGGATCAAGTCATGGGTGTGCAGGTAAGGAGTATTCCACATCATAGACCACACTGTCTGCGCGTTAGGAGCAAGTAAACTTCAAATTCCTTGTTAGGATTCTTTTTGTAAAGACAGTTGCGTAGTGGGTAGTTTACAGTCTACAGTTCTAATCAATAAATTGGGTTGGCAGTGAAACGGTCAAATTCGGCCATGTGACATTTGTCTGGAATGGTAATCGCTCTGGCCAGTTTAGCGATACCCTTGAAAAATACGTTCAAATTCCTAGCGATCAAGGTATCAGCTTTGATAAGAATCCAGAAATGAAGGCCATCGCTATAGCGGAAAAGGCTGCCGAAGCTTTTCGCAGTGGTGAATGGGACCAGGTAATCTTAGTGCAATGTTGTTTCCTTATCACCAAGATGAATCACGTATGACAATGTGATCAACCACCTTGTTGATATTGGCATTTGTACGAGAAAAATTTTACAATCGTGCTTTACTCAATTAACATGCACATGTGTTTGACGTAGTCGCTGCTGTGCCACAGGTCCGAGTGAACATCGCGAATGGTGATATGGTGGGTCATACAGGAAATCTTGAGGCGACTATCGTTGGCTGCACTGCCACTGATAAGGCCATCAAGGTAACCTTCCATGTCTGAATCTTCCTCTAGGTGGAATTGTTTCAAGTTGTCACACAAGACTTCTGTGGGAAAGTTGTCCCAATCTCCGAGTGTTCCTTGACGTGTACGTTTCTCGCAGATCATGTTAGATACCGTAGAGGAAGTGGGAGGTGTTTTCATGATTACTGCTGATCATGGCAATGCTGAGGATATGGTGAAAAGGAATCCGAAGACCGGTGCACCCATTAAAGATAAGCAAGGGAACTACCAGATACTCACGTCACACACTTGCGCTCCGGTAATTGTTGATATTTGAATTGCAAGTTTTCTCTCCTTTTTTTCAATAATCCTCTGAACAATTTCACCGCCTAAGACACCTGTGTCGATAGATAATGCGCTAAATATTTGGTTGCGTGGTTGCTTCCAGGTTCCCATTGCCATAGGAGGCCCAGGTCTGCCAAAAGGTGTACAATTTAGGCAAGATCTTCCCAATGCTGGACTTGCTAATGTGGCATCCACCTTCATCAATCTTCACGGCTTTGAGGCTCCTGCCGATTACGAGCCCACATTAATTGAGATTGTTGATTGAGATTTCATGATTTGACACTGATGAAGTGGCCAGTCAGAGATGAGGCACTGAACGAGTATTTCAATTGTGTAGATTCAATTCGTACAAAATGCGCCATGGTATAAGAGGACATTGGTAATATATTCTGGTATCTCTAGTAAATTGGATGTTGCCCTCTTGTGAAGATGTACTTGCAAGAAAAATATGGATAAATAAAACAATCTTGTTTTGTATTAAGATGGTCTTCACAGCTGTTCTTGTGATGATCCTGTTTTATATGTGGAACCTATTTAGCAACTGAACTATCTTTGGACAAAGGTCTGAACTTTGTAATTGCTACAGGGGAAGATTCACATAAAATTTGCATTTGAAAGAAAGCCATCTGAATTTCATAAGATTTGGTGGCATACTCTTTCTTTAGCAATTTGGGTTCCTAGAGTCTTGCTAAATTGCAACAGAAAGATTTCTCTTTGTTGAGAGCATTAAATGTAGCCGACGCTTTCCATAATATTTATTATAGTCCACAGTAAATACTATAGCTACAACATTTGGAATGTAGTGGAGAGGAATTGTTTATCCTCTCCCCTTCTCCTCTTGTATATGAGATACAACCAAATCAATAGATTTTTATGTATGAAGCTCACTCTCCTTAGAAACCATCTTGTGTGTATTACTTACTATTACTCTTGTGTGTATGTATATTACTTACTATTACTCTTGTGTATGTGTGTGTATTACTTACTATTATTCTTGTATGTGTGTGTGTATTACTTACTATTACTCTTGTGTGTGTGTGTATTACTTACTACTACTCTTGTGTCTTTCTAAACATTCTCAACATGTTATTAGCACGACTCTCTTCTACATACTATCTCAATTTTTTTTACTCTAGTCTTGACTCTTCAAACTTGTTGCTACTCTCGCTCCCTGTCTGATTCATGATCTTACTGCACTTCTTGTTGGCCCCTCACACATTAGCTACTTGCTTAGAACATTTGCTCCACTCTTTGCCCTACTTCCTTAGAATACTTGCTCCTGCCTAGCCTCCATGCTGTGCTCCACGCATGCCACCAAATAGCTACCAAACAACTGCCAACCTTGTTGTTGCCGCCGTTGTCGTATTACGTGCTTTCCTGCTCGAGAACGCGCCGGGTGTCTGGCTGTAGAAGGTAGTATGGAGATTCGCCGATAGTCAAGCAGTCTATCAGTTTTTGACTACTGGAATATAAACTACTGCAACAATGTACCGTAAATCTATACGGATGCTCTTCGACTGCTTGTCGAAGTCTTTTTTTTTGCCCCAGCCGATAGGTCTCTAGACGTTACAGAGAACCCCGAACAACCCAAACTGTTAATCTTCAATACCCCTTTGTACTTACGATCTTGTATCCACTGACTGTCCTGTTAGATTAACCCAATAAATTTCATTCACTCCGCATACTCAATCCTATAGACACCCCTTTAATCCTTCAATCACAGACGTAACTCGATTTTACAAAACAGTCAAGAGTATTCAAACCCACTTCATTTAAAAATCCCGATTCACCATTACAACACTGACTTCAGCAGCGATTGCCTCAGTCTTTCCAAAACTCTATGAAGAAGAAAAATCCAAATTCTATGTCTTTCCTTCTCCGACCCGAAGCATGAAGCTCCTCTCTCTAATTCCCTTGATCTTCAAAAAAACCCCCAAATGAAAAACCGAACTGGTAACCTTGCAAAAGCTTGAAAATTCGCTCCCCCCCCCCGATTCTCCTGAAAAAAAACCCCCCCCCCCTCAAAACTATATCCCCCCTAACCTTATCCTCTGAATCTCTTCAATCTTCCGTCTTAGATCCGGAATTGGCTCCCACCTCAAGCTCGGATCCGAAATTGGCTCTCGCCGTCAAGCTTTCTCCTCCATTTTTACCTTTAAGAAATCCATTTACCGAAAACAACGTTCCCTGAAACGGCACAGAGAACAGGACAGCCTGAAACAGAATCGAACCCCGTAATCGGGACCACATTGAGTCGCCCGACCAATTCAGGTCCTATATTGGGAAAGATGCCCGTAGTAACCTGGATGTTCCCGTAACTGGGTCGAATTGGTCCTCGCATCAGATTGGCTAAGACCTGTAGTAAGACCTGGATTTCTCGTAATTAGACCAAATTGGGTTGACCGGCCAATTCAGGTCTCATATTGGATAAGAGGACCCGGATTGGATTATCGAAATTGGATCCAATTGGCTCCTCGAACCCGTCGTGTGAATTGGTCCTTCTCTTCCTGCTGACTCCCGTTATTGGAATCGAATGGAGCATTTCAGTATGCCCCGGCTGACTGTAACGGAGTCACTGAACCTGACCACTCAGTATTTGTACTGGAGTTGGTCGATGCTCCCAATATTCGAGGTAACTGAATATTAATAAAATTCCCCTTTCTTTTTATTTTCACTGTATACTCGTGTTACAACACGACATCCACCCCCTCTGAACCTGTGCATCCTCCGGTATGCACCAATTTACCCAATTGCTGTTTGATTCAGAATATATCCCCTACGTCTTTGTCCAGTTCGTCTTCGTCACCTTCATTATCCATATCACTTTCATCTTCTTGCTGCGGAATCTCTGTACCTTCATTAAGGTCTTCCATATTCATCTTTGCGTGTCTTCGTTTAAATATTTTTACTCGCTTCCCTGCAATTGGTATTTTCAATTTTGTACCATCTAACTCCCGTAATAAGTAAGTCGCATTATCATGAACAGTTGTTACAACATATGGTCCAAACCAACGTTTTGAAAATTTCCGCAAGGTACTATGTTGATTATCCAGACTATTGTCATAAACAAGTACCCAGTCACCTTCCTCGATTGCTTTTGGTCTCAATCGATGTTGCTTATCAAATCGCGCCTTGTTTTGTAACCTTGCTCTTTTTAACCTTTCCAATGCTATCTGGACATCTTCCGTTCTTTGCTCCAATTGTCGAATCCTAATAGCCAGAAGTTCTTCTCTTGTCAATCCATCTTCCCATGGTAGCATACTCCAAGTAAGTACCTTTTCTTCAATCGGCATAATTGGTTTTTGACCTGTCATAAGTTCTACTGGCATATATCCTGTCACCAAACTATGTGTTATTCGATCAGCCCATAATGCAAATGACAAAAGCCGTGGCCACTCTTTAACCTTCCCATTACAAGCTTTAACCAATGCTTTCACAATCGGCGGGTGACCACGTTCGCTTTTTGCATTCCCTTCCGGATTATAAGTAGTAGTCAGTGATAGTTTAACTCCACATTTTTCAAAGAACTTACAAGCTTCTTGTGCATTTAATTCTCCACGATCTGCAGTGATTTTTCCTATGCACCCGTAACGGAAATGACATCTTCAAGCAAAAACCTACAAATCCCCTCTGTAGATTTTGTCCTCAATGCTCTTCCTTCTACTTGATTTGATAAATCTTCACGAGCTAAAATCAAATATCTCATCTGCCATAACCCAACCGGCATAATAACCAAATCAACAACCCATTTAAAATGAATAGCCAGAGGATACGTAGGATGAAGACCATCTCGATGTCGGATATTAGAATACGATTGACAGATTTTACATGACTCTACAAATGAGAGCACATCTCGATACATATTTTTCCACCAATATCGTTCCTTGAGTTTAGCAAAAGTAGCCCAGATTCCTCTATGCCCTGTCCATAAACTATCATGAAACTCCTTTAATAATTTTAGTTTCTCTTCCCTTTTGCCTATCACTCGTTGTGGCATCCCAATTCCTTTCTTCGGTCTCTTCCATAAGAATCCATCTCGAAGTAAAAATCCATATGCTTTTTTTCTTATTTGTTTGAATTTTTCTGTAGACCAATTTCCCTGCTTAGACAAGGTATTCAAATAATGACCAATATCCAATAATTCTCCTTCATAAGATTCTTCAAGAAATAGCTTGTCTTCTCTGTTGAGATTTGATATTGAATAGAATTTCAATCCGACATCATCAATGTCTTCAACCATTTCGTCCTCCCTCTCGTATCTTGCTCGAGATAGCATGTCTGCTACTAAATTGTCCTTTCCAGTGATATGCTTAAATTCTAAATTTAGTAACTTAATATAAGCAATCCATCTCAACATTGCAATATCTCGCGTTGAACAGTTAATAATCATTCCAAGCAATGGCAAGCAATTTGTTTCAATTACTACTACTGCCCCAATCAAATAATCCTTTTCAGCTTTCATAGCCAAAACGACTCCCCAAAGTTCTCTTTTGACTTGCATATATGCACGCTAACGAATACTTAAAACTTTAGCCCCAAATCGAACTGCAAATCTACTCCCATTCGAATCATCTTGACCCACAGCCCATCCAACGGCAATTGGACTAGCGTCTACAGTAAGAATCACTGGTCTATTGCACTTATAATCAACCTTCCTCAATATTGGAGGTGACATCAATAATTTCTTCAATCTTTGCATTGCCTGAATATGCCTTTCTTCCCATTCAAATCGGTAACCCTTGCGTAACAGTTCATATAATGGATCCGCTATGTGAGCAAAATGAGGGATCCAGATTCGAAAAAATACACATGCACCCAAAAACTTGCGAACCTCTGTTAAAGAACCACAATCCTCTTTCATCCTTCCAATTGCATCAACTTTAGTCGGATCTGGTTTTCTTCCGTAAGATCCGCATAAATGTCCAACAATTACAACCTCTCGCACTCCAAATACGGACTTCATACCCGATAATGTAAGATGAACTTCTCCAAGCCGAGTTAAAATCTTTTCACGATCTTGTATATGATCAACAACATATCTGCGACACCCCCTCGTATCTAAAGTTTCATCCTTGTCTCCTTCTCTGCACCCTTTTATAGGAACATCATCCAGAAACGGCATAGTCTTTTCCGGAATAAAATCTCTCAATACCTTATTCATCCCATTCATCATATGCGCAACTGAATTGGTCGCGTCTTGAGGAAGAGTGCACATTCTAACCAATCCAAGCAGTGTCCTCATCGTTGTCATATCTCTACTTCCTTCGGCAAGTTGAAATTGATCATAACCTGAATACAAATCACCCATTGAATAGATCGCCCTTCCAGCAAACGCCTCTGCAAATTCATCCACAATAGGTCCAATTCCTGCATTCCTGACAGTTACAGCATTCACCGGCTGCATATCTTGAATAAACCGTAGTGACCCAT